AAGACATCCGCAGCATCAATGGAGATGTTCCGCTTCTTGATCATCGACAGGTCGGAAGCTCTCCCGAACAGGTACCAGAGAAGACATAGGAGAGCAGCATCTTGGTAATCACTCTCAGAGCATGAATTAGTATACAAATATACCATCAATTTTTTCAAGTCAGCCTTCGTACATGGTGGAGCTTTTGTTACGAAGCCACCACCGTCTCTTTTTTAACTTATTTTTTGTGTAGCTGGCATGGGTATTAGTCCTAAAGCGACCATTCGTACTCTAATTGAGCTAGTCGAGCTTTATCGACCACCAAAAAGATATCAAGTCACTGAAATTGCCACCAAGTACGATCATCTCGTCTTTTTTACTCCACCTTAGCATCCGACACTTCAACCAATCGAGCTTATTTGGGGGATTGTCAAGGGGCGCATCGCAAGGACGCCTCCAAAAAGCGGCGCTGATGTTGTCAAGAAGGTACTTCAAGGTCTGAAGGAGTAAGATGACGAGTGGCTGAAGGTTTACCGCCACGTCCAGAAAAACGGGGATGCCTACATCAAGCCTGATAGGCTTTAACTGCTAAAGATGCACCTTTATAAATTTATACTTTTCATTCGCGATCTCATGTTGCTGCTGATTTGCACATCACGATGCGGCACAACGATTGACGACTTCACTGGAGTCGTACTGCGTTTTTCTCATGAAAACCATACGAATCTCATTATCAACCAATGATAGCTCTTAGATTATGCATAACGAGGCCAGATCAGCCTACGAGCAATTTAGAACTTCCGAGACCTTTTTTTGAGAGCCCATAGTGCTAAAACTGCTGCGAATTTGCTAAAACTGACCTCATTTTCGGACTCAGAAGGCGAGAAAACCTAAATATCTAACTATCGATATTGGTTTTCTTAGAATAAGACCCTTCTATTGTGTGCTAATGTTTGGTATTATGAAATATGCGGAGTACAATAAGTTCGGTTGAGCATAAAAAAATAAAATTATGCCGAACTTAACGCTTATATTTCCGGACAACTTTCATTTAGAGAGCCGCTTATATTTTCGGATGGAGGAAGTAATAAAGAGCTACATTTCAATATACATCCACATGAACATCTACCAAAACTGAGGCCAAGAAATCCCCAAGTTTTTGCCCTCTTTTTTTATCCTTAATTTTTTTCTTGTTGGGGTTAACCCCAGTTACTAATTGCTTTGCAACACTCTGACAGTTATTGTACCGGATTCGACGAATAAAACACAACGATGAAAACATGCAACAGCACGACCGCATCCTTAACACGACAAAAATACGTAAGGGTGTCACCCTCCGCAATCGATAAACTTATTGGTTAGCATTAATTATAATAGTTTTGAAAAACAGCTTTTTCAAAAATGTACACATTATAAAACAAGATTAAAAATTTTATTCTACTTCGTAATTGTTATTCTCCTCTGACTCTTCTGGCGGGTCAACTATAAAGTTTTCTTCAGCATCTCGGGGTCCGTAAGGCACGATGCCTGCCTTAATAAAACCTCGCACAATTACCTTGGCTCTTACCGCTTTCCATCCGTTAATTACTATTTCTGTAATTAACGCACGTCGAGCAGGGGCGCCTTGAGCAAAGTCGTTGACAGCATGGTGGTTCACGTAGTAGTTTCTGCATAAACTCTTGAATACCCTCATCACTGAAACATCCATGGGCTGGGCTAAACCAGTAATCCCAGGAGAAATGAATTCTGCCGCAGTACAGCATTCATTTTCAAATGCATTGCGCACAGAGGCCATTTTGTATATCTTTAGTGAGTCTAATAGCAACAGCCGGGGTCCACAGACACTCGGTTTCCAAACCTATTTAATAAACAAAGCAAAGAAAGAAAGAAAAAATTAAAAACAAGTTTAAAAATAAAAAATATACAACTCAAACCTCATCTATCCACTCAAGCATGCGCTCCTCGTCGTAATGCGCTTTTTCTGGACTGAGAGTATGGCGTTTGTGCGATAGTTCCGGTTTGCCATGAGCTCTAGATGAACTGGACCATTGTGGGTCCCTCCAAATACAACAAAAGGGAGCAGCTTTTGCACCGTAGCTGAGGCACACAAAAAAACAGAAGCTCGGAAGGAATTCTCCGACATTCCTGGATTACAAAAAAAACGTTAGATAGTAAAATCAAACAACCAAGTACAGCAAAATTACCTTGAATCGCATCAACATTTTTAGCACCAACGAACTCAATCGTTCGCTTGGGCCTCATGTCTATGTAAATTGACGTCTGAACCATATTAAATACTGATTCTTATTTTCTCGGACTCTTGATACCAGATAGCAAATCGACCATCTCTAGATTGTACTGGATAGTTCTTGAAAAACGATCTGCCACACCCTAAAATCAAACCAAAATTAAAATTTAAATAACAAATATGTGAATTGTATGCCAAACATGTAATACCTGTAATTCCGTGCGCTTTTTGGTGCCTCGGTGGGTAATAACCCGCACTGACAGGCGATTACGAAGCCGAAACCTCCTAATAGCAGCTACAGAAGCCTCTAATGACCTCCCGGTAAGATAGTGGGGTTCGAAGCGGACAGCCATGAGTAGAAGACACTGACTTGTTACACCTATTCAAAATTTGCTACCATTAGATTTTTTTCCACATCAATATTGTCAGTTTCATTCAAATTTGTGAGAATAGCCTGAATCGAATCGTTTTGGCGAATCGATTTCGAATCGATTAGTGCTATTTTTAGCCAGTCAGAAGTCTCCAACCGCGCGCCACTCCATATCGGCAAGCGACAGCGATGGCAAGCATACAGCAGGCGGTCAATGGGCGCCACGCGTCCAGAAACACCATCATGCACGCCCTGTACGGCTACTTCTACCTGGGCTTGTCGAAACGCCGGCTGGCAACGATCTATTACAAGCACATCAACACCAGCTTGAACTGGATCCAACGCTTCGAGGTTAACAACGACTACGCACGCCGCGCTACAAGGCGGACCGGCCAACTCTCAGCAGAACAGCGGGAGTGGCTGCTAGACTTCTACACGAAGCATCCGGTTGCGTTTCTCGATGAAGCGAAGGCTGCGTTTGAGCACCAGTTCAGACGCTTCATTTCGATCTCAACGGTGTGGAGGGCTTTACGGCAGCATGGGCTCACATGGAAGGTTCTCAGCGACGTGCGATGAACATCAAGATCAACGATATTGTGCGTTTCACGCAGGAGCTGAGCACGATTAAGTGGTGTCAAATGAGCATTCAGTTCCTCGACGAAGTCAGCTTTGACAACAGGGGCATGCTGCGTTCGCGAGGTTACTGTTTGAAAGGAAAGAAGCTTGCGTTTCGTGGAGAGTTTAATAGAAAAGCTCGGGTTTCGTTGCTGTGTTTCATATCTGTGGATGGGCTCGTAGAAACATTTCACACGGATGGGACGTTTGACCGATCTAAGTTCATTGAGTGCTGCCGTGCACATGCGCATTCGGGGAAGACTGTGCACCAGTATCCAGGAAGCGGCTCCGTGTGGATTATGGATGGTGCCAAGATCCATTGTCACCCCGACATCGTCTACTATCTGCGGTCACTGGGGATCATTCTTATTTTTCTTCCGGCGTACTGTCCATTTTACAACCCGATCGAGTATCTATTTTGCTTGATCAAGAAAGCATTCAAGCGGCAGTACGTCGAAGGGTCCAAGCAAAGCCAAGCTGTACTCATTGCAAATGTACTTAAGCAGTTCCAAGATTTCGACATGACCAATATTTTTGAGCACTGTGGGTGGAGTGTGACCGGTGAGTTTGACCCGACCTCGGCCCTGGGGGATGAGTACGTGAACACACCGCGAGCTGGGCAATTTGGCGTGGACGGTTTCTCCGAGCGCGGAGATCCTGATGATGACAATACGTGCTCAAGTGATGACGACTAAGTTAGTGTTGTGGGAAATGCGTGTTTATTTGGGGTTCGAGTTTGGTGGTACTTAAGAGCAAGAGTCATTCATGGTCGATGTTCTCCTGATTTGGAATGGCGGCCAACACGGACAAGACCTCCGTACTATCTGGTTGTATAACCACGTCCTCGCCCATGGCCTCGATAACATCCAAATGGTTCTCCAGCATTTGATTCATGGAAACGATGGCAGTCTGCAGCACTTGAACTGTTTGCTCGAAGTGCTGAATCTTTGTCTGCATACCCTGTACGACTTTCTTTGGCATCTTTACGCTGCGTTGCACACGCTGTAAGTGCTGGTCGCTTGAGTTTGACGCAGGCCTGAACTGAGTCACAAGATTTGGTGGCGGGCCCTTGGCGATTTCTCGCTCGTGCTGAGGCCCGGGTTTCTTGAGAACGAGTGAGGCCCACAGGCGCCACGACATATCTTGTGCACTAAACGTAGCACCCCATTTCTCCTTCAGAGTAGTGATCATGAGTTGGTGAAGTTCTTCTGTTGCAGCACCCCCACGATCGGTTGCAGCCGGACCGATGCACTGATCTTCAAAGTCGGCAAACTGACCAACGGTGGATATCTCATTGCCGTACTTGTAAACAGAGAGAATGGCGGGTTCCTCCTTGTGTTTCCGCAAGTATTTACGATCTTTTGCACTTGTCCACGGATTCAGCACCTTGCCGTTCATCTTCAAAGAAGTATCCTTCTTAAACATCGCAATTGCTGGTTCATGCTCATCAACCGTCCAGACTGGAGGTGTCCCAGTCGGAATAGCTAGTGGCTCAAATCGCGCTGGATGATGTCCCAAAGCATGGTTTTCACCTCATCCCATGTGTCACTTTGAACCGCGTGCGTGCCCACCCGCAATTCCGACGTCAGACGCTGGTTGACAGCGTTCTTCAACCGTACATCGACCGAGAGCTTGATCAACGGATCATGCGAAGAGAGCGCCTCGCGCTGTTGCTCAAGACGCGGGCTTTGCCTCTGGTACGGTGAGGAACCCACTTCACGCTGATGTTGAAGACGCGGACTACGCCTCTGGTACTGCGAGGGGCGTGGACTCGGACCTTGAGCTACTCGCTCATGACTGGGAGTGTTGTCCTCGAGCGATACCCGTCGAGGAGAGCTGCGCCGGACCGGGGTTGTCAGGCTCATTGTCGGAGGAATACAGAGTATGTAGGTAAACTCTGATTGGTTAAAAATGACAGCAAATCGATTCGAAAAACGCCACTTTTCCCTCCTGGTTCTACAAATTATAGCGGAAACGACAATAATAAATGACATCACTCACACATTGACTTGTTCTTCCGCATGTCTGTAAACCATTCTAGAGGACTACAAAATAGTTAGTATTACTCAACAACTTCCAATGGTTAAATACAATAAAAATGATAAAGAACATACCGAGATTCTAGTCCAGGAAACCGTAATTTCACGCCCCTCTTCACCTTCCTTATCTTCTTTTTCTTGCGGCTAAGGCCTTGAGCGTCCTTTATCCGGTCCTCTGCATGATCCCAGCGCCACAACGTCTCGTGGTGGACGCCGTACTTGTCGGCCAACGCCTCGGTGGCTTCACCAGCAGCCCGGACTTCCAACACAGCCTATAAAGAATAGGGATATATATATATAAACAAATAACTTAAGGTAACTTATTAATAGTCGAATCTCTTACCTCGCGTCGCTCTTCATTGGTGCATTGAGCTTTAGTTCGCATCAATATCCGAATACAAAATGCGCGGTTAAATGAGATGGATGGCGCTGGTCGAATTTGTGGCATCTGCTCTACGTTACAATATTTACGACTATTTACCTTTTTACGATTTGACTTGGAGGTTACATTTTAACCCCAACAAAATTCCTCCTAAAAAGAAGGAGGAAAAACCTCGGTCATCCTCAGTTCGGCAAGGTTTTTCTCCTTACGCCTCAACGATAAGGAGAAAAAAGAGTGATTGTCATTCCGTGTCAACCTCTAGTTTGGAGCTCTTGGAGGCCATGGCTGACGTCTCGGATAGCGACCTGAGTGCAGACGACTTGTATCTGTCCGATACAAGCTCGGAAGGGAGTGACGAAGATACACGGGCGTGGAGATACGTCGACGCTGACGAGTCGCGAGTGGAGGTGGATGACACAGACGCTTTCCTGTTGGCCAGCGCTAGAGATGAGAACAGAGCAGTGGTTAATCGACTTCTCCTGCGGATGTTCGGTACCACACAGCATCACACAGACAACGTGGACATCTCTCGCTTTGTCTATACGTGGTTGGACTCGTCGGTACTCATTAAGCTGCAAACATGGGTCAACTGCAGCATGACCGAAGACGCAGCGGTGTCTGTCGACGACCTTTATCGCTTTATGAAAGTTGAACTTTGGTTGAGCTTCTATCATGCCACTCCTGAAGCCTTTTACGATAAGTTTAACCTGGAGCAGTATCCTGTTGCTGCTCGTGTGTTGCCGGCAGCAAGACATCGGTCAATTTTAGCAGCGATGGGCGAGCATCAAACACGTGATGACAGAGCCGATCGGTGGACGGCCCCACTGAGCCAAGAGCGGGATATTGATCATGCAGCAGAGCTTGTACGCCGCTTGTGCTCGGATATCGGATATGTAGAAGGAGTGACGATCGCGTCGCTCGATGATGATATGATACGACTTCGCTCGACAGCAGTTGACGACATTGGCCTCGCACATATTCGAAATCCTAAGAAGGGGTATTTACTGCTCTGTTTCGTTTATTGCTGATGCTTGTCGAATCTGACAATGAATAATTTCCACAGCTATGGACCTGTTCAGCACGGGATTGTGTCTTTGGTGACTGGAATATTTTTGGGTGGACATGTTGCAAACCGAGGAGAGTCAACCGTAGACATCGTTCGATTGCTGCAACGAGCATTGTGTGGAGCTCCAACAGAAAGTCAAATCCATTTACCTGGAGTTTTACATGCGTTGGATCGAGGCTATCAGAGTCTGGCAGTCAACAAGCAGATTATTAACGTCGGGGGAAGTATTGTTGGTACTCATAAACGCACCGGCACGTTCCCGTTTACACACGGAAAAGCTGCTACGCAGCATCAAAAGCTCGTACAGATGAAAGGTGAACGCTGTGCGTTTTGGGCCACTCAGCGTCTGCCGACCGTACGAGGGACTTTGTCAAAGCATGCACACGCGCTTGCGTATCGCAATGGACTGGGAAAGGTAGCTTTGTGCTACACTGCTGCCACAAACGTAGGTCCAGGAACCTGGTCTTATATATCGCGCCCAAACAAGTAAGTTACAGCCTTCATTCGTGAGGCAGCAAAAGTCTTATCGGAGCGGCCAATGCAGTCGTCAGAGCCGGTATCCGTGCGTACCGAGCTCTCAACGACGTCGTTCAGCACCCAGACGTTCTCTTACAAGAAACGCATTCATTTCATTTTGAGTCAGATTCGGGGTGGAAGCATCTTCGGCTCTCAAAAATTGTTCAGCATCCTT